CCTCCCCACCACCGGAAACCCAAACCCCCCCAAAAAAAAAAAAAAAAAAAAAAAAAGGTAAGAAATGCAGTCAGCGTAGTCGCTAATGCACCACAGTCAGTCTAGGGAAACCATCTTTCAAGGGATGGAGAGCAGATTTCCACCTCGCCTGTTCCCTAACAAACAGATTGCTGCACGGCCATTAGTGTCAGAAATGAAATACTCTTTTATTACTTTCCCTTCTTCTGCCTGCCCAAGTTTGCTTTAGTTACTTGCCTGATTGAACTCCAGAGTGGCATTTCCAAAGTTGCTGATATTGTTCCAAATAGGTCATCCTCAGCGAAAAAAACTCCCCGCCGTGCTTTCCAAAAACCGCACGCCACACTGAGAAAAAAAAAAAGTCCCTGTCCCCATTTAACTTTCTGCTCTTGCTCCACATGACTAGAATAGAAACCTACATGCAGGATGGAGATATGTATTTCTTGTTTGGTGCCATCTGATTTGAGGCTTTATTTGTATAAAAAAATGTAACTGCCTGCATGCTTTCTAGTTTGAATGAAGTAAAATGCGGCTGCCTGACAGACGCGCACACCAAGCTGTTCTGTTTTCTAGAGCAGAAACCGGATTTCAGGTGCTGACTCATAAGGATACATTTCTACCAGGGGAATTTCTGATCCATTTTCTTCAAGGATTTTCAGCCTTTTATTTTGGCGTGACCTTAATATTGCCCTCTTACCCGCTAGGATTTCATATCCCAGCATTTGTATCAATGGCTGTTTCTCAGAGGAAAGATATAACTTGCATTACGGATATCTTCCCTAGCTTAATGAATATAAACTAAACGGGAACATCCTGATTTCATAAGACACCAAATCATTTTCCAAAGACCCGAGCTTATAGCTTTCTAATAGGACATTTGCTTTCTGCTTCAGTTTTTTTTTTTTTTTTAATTTGTGTCTGCTTTTCCTAAATCTTCCACTTTATTTTGTCTCTTCCACATTCTTCTCATCTCTGCTGCAGTCTGACCCTCCGGTCGATAGGCAGGGGACAGCTCTTGCCCCTGCTCTGTGAGACCTGGCCCCCTTCCCCTCTCCCCATTGCGGAATGGCACCTTACCCATCCTGACTTTAGTTTCCCCAGTTCAGTGCAGAGCCTGGTGGAAGTGCTTGCTTCACCAGAGCATCCACAGCACTGCTCCTCCTTGGCCAGGGGTCACCCCCATGGGCCCCCCCATCCCCCTCCCAGCCTGGCTCCTGCTCCAGCCACAAAACCACCTCCCAGCAAAGGGGCAAGCAAGTGCACAGCAGCAAAGTCCGTCTGCTGGGGAGCTGATAACCTTGGGTCAAGGACAGAGCAAGCAGCCGGAGGAGGGTGCAAACCTCCGAAGCAGCTGTCGTTAGCTCCACCGGGCTTCTTGCGTCAGCCGGCTGCACCCCGAGCAAGGCACGGGGGACATCAGCTCAAGCGAGCACCGTAGGAACACAGCCGCCCTTCGGGCAGCTCTCCAGCCCCGGGGCTGGGGGCGAGCAGCTGTGCTTTAGCATGGGGACTTGCGGCACGGACACCTCTGAGCATCAGGTGGGCGCAGTGGTGGGCTGGGTTCCCGCCTCTGCTTGGCCCCCACACTCCAGGACGCCCCATTATCAGGCACTGTCCCCCCAGCCCATGCACCCCAGGGCTGTCACCTGCCAGACTTGCCAGTAATTGCTCTCTTCTTCCTCCCATTAAATGAATACCCATTAAATAAATACCCATTCTCCAGCCAATCCCCCTCCAGATGTGAGGCCAAGAGGGCGAGAAAGACAGCGGTGGGAAGAGTGGTGGGGGAGAGAGGTGTCACTCACAGGGCAGCGCTCATCCTACGCGCGTAGGATCAGCTGGCCCTAAATCCTGCTTTTTGGAGGTGTTTGTGGAGGAAGGAGGCTAAGCTAAAGATAAGAAAAGAGTTCGCTGGGGGAGAAAGACAGAAATTGCAAATTAAGCTTAATTAGCAGTAGACGTTCCTTATGAATGTATTCAAAAACGCTTTTCCCTGTAGCTTTTCGCAGCAGTGGAAGTGTGATCGTGTTTTTACACATGAGAGACTGATACTGGATGTTCTTCTCTAAAAACAAATCTCTGCCGTTCCTTTTTAGACACCCAACACCAAATCCTACCTTTGTTTCCAGCGTTTTGCTGAGCGTACCCCAAGCCCGCCCTGCCTGCATGTTCCTGCCACTCGGACGCCCGAGCCTCTGTGGCTGGGGGGGGTCTTTTTTCCATCAGGATCCTTAACAATTCCATTCTCATTAACATGGGGTGGTGGCAGTGACTGTCCTAATGAACCTTTCAGCTCTCCTTCTCACTTAACCTTGCTCATTGCTCATATAACGGTGGTCCTTGGAGGAGGAGGTCATGTGTGCTGGGGTCCCGGTGGCCTTACTCTTCCCCCCCCTCCCCTGTACCTTCTCCCTTAATCGCATTGTGAGTTATGGCTGAGAACATCATATAGGTATGGATTTGAATGGATTAATTTGAAGGACTGAGGCTTAGAAAGCCAGTTAGGGGCTTAGCTGCTCTCCCTAACTTTAGTGGGAGCTCTGGGGCTTTAAAGGCCATTGTATTAAGACGCCAAAGAGAATCTTTTTTCTGCTAAAGTAGAACAAATACCTGATACCTACCAAGGTGACTTCTCACTAGGATTGCCATGATGGAGCCAAATCACACATAAGCTACATCGAACCCATGCCACTCCCCCAGAGGTGCAGTCACTGGCACCTTTCTCCCATCCCAGAAGGGGCAGGGAGGTGTGTGTGCAAGCCCCAGCTTTTGCCCAGGAAAGTTCACATAGCTCACGGTATGCGTTCAGTCTTTCAGAAGATCACCGTCCCTGGAGCTCCTGGGCTCGGCTGTAGCTGGAGGCTAGAGAGGCTGCACAGCCCAGGGCCAGGACCCCAGGAGGGTCCACGCTTGGTCCCGGGGATGGTGGGCAGGAAGCCATACTCCATAACCTCTGCTGCAAGGACATGTCTGCAGCTGTATCTATACCAGGGATGTGACATGAGCCGCCTGCGCATGAGCAAACCCCCTCTGGAATTATCTGTGCCCAAGCGAGAGCGGCCGACCAGTGAAACAGCAGTGCAGGCTGTGTGGAGCAACTGCATGAGTCACTGGCTGTGCTAAATCAAATACACAAGATTTGATTTTCCATTTGGGAGGATTATATAATCATCATTAATTAAGCTTCAATGAGAAAAGCAGGACTGTAACCTGACGTGAAGACTTGGTAGTCCCTTGAGAGGAGGGGAGGTGGCCCGTGGGCCACTCAAAAAAGGAAGGTGGAGTTCCCTCTTTGCTTCTGTGAGAAATGCCTACTTGCTCTCAGAGCATAAGGGGGTTTTTTTATTGAGGGATGAGGAGGGGGAAGGCAAGTAATAAAGGTAACCGTCAAAAAATCCAAGGAAATGTTTAGCTCCCATCATAAAATGTCAAATTAGGTGAGAATAAATTATTTTACAAAGCCGCTTAATAGCTCACTCTGATAAGAAAAGATAAGGCGGCCTGGATTTATCCCACCTGTGAAAATTCTTCTTAGGTTTGTAAACAGAAAAAGATCTCTCACAATTATATAACCAAATATTGGCTTTGGTATCCTGTTTCTGAGGTGACATACTTGATTAAACACTCCCGAAAGGGACAAAGCCAGAGTCCTGCCTTTCAAAGTGTTCACCAATATAAAAAAGGACCACCAGCATTTTTAAAGTGTCAGATCGCTCCTTTCATGCAAAATGCCTGAAGTTTTCTTCTTGAAGGAGATAACCGTTATGTGAAAAGAGTTCCTGATCAAGTACTATAATTAAATATTGCGGTGGAATTTAAAACTGTGCATTTTTGTTCCTAATTACATTGAAAATCAGGAAGTATCTGGTTACTGGATGCTAATAATAGCAGATACTCTACTGTCAGCTGATATATCTCTTAGAGATAAGAATAACCATCAAGAAAATTATTACACTGGGGAAAAAAAAAAATCTTTTCACTTCCAGATCAATTAATTCAATCTGAATTCCCTTTTAAAGGAAATAAACAGATTTATACAGAAGATACATTGATCTTGAGCCTCCATAAGCATATGCAGAAACATCTGTTAACAGAAATAACTCAAACGGAAATGAATGTTTTGATCAGAACCGACAGCTACATATTATTATTTGCTATTAACAGTATTACAGAAGCTGCAGCCAGCAATCTGCAGCACTTATGCTGGGTTCTCTATGGGCACTTAAGAAAAAAGGCACCATTCCTGTCCTGAAGAATTGACTTGGGGTTCATATCAACACAGGATGGCGAGGGGAGAAACAGGAGGAGGAAAGAGGAGAGAGTAGATCAAAGTAGACAAGTGATGTGTGGACACCATCAGTGTTACTCATCCAAAGGTACCGAGTGCTGTCTGGCCTTGAACTTTAGATTTCTTCATTATATATATTAATTGCTGAATATTCTGTTTATCTGTGGTCTGAACTTATTTATATGGAACAATCTTGGTTTTTTTCTGGTCTGTTTGGCTTGTATTTTTTGAAATCACCATTCAGTTTGTTTGACAGACACCAAGACTGGTTCTTTATTAACATCTACTGACAAAATAGGAAGGTGGGACTTCTGCTTTCAAATGGCATAAATGAGAGGCTTGCTGCTATAGCAAGAATATGTTTTAAACATCCGAAGTTAAAATAAGATGACCAAGCAACTGACTGCTGTACTATTATTAACTGAATAATGTGGCATCTGCGGTTTTTTAAACATTCTTTCATTCATTTCATGTGGCATGATTTGTATCCCTAAGGATAAAAATCTTCTCATCTATGGTAGTTAGGGGCTTGGTTCTTTATATATATATGAGTTATTTTTAACATCTTGTCCTTAGTTTCCTGGTCCTTTTTATAAAAAAAACAAAACCAAAAACAAACAAGGAAAGAAACCTGTATAGAGGCAAATCAGTTTCTTTCTATCTTCTTATATGTTATTTGCAGGTTATTTAGTACTTCTTCTACAAAAGAATTTTGTGGTAGCTCTAGGAGCAGCAGGTCTGATAGGTAACAGCAAAAAACTATTAAAATTCATGCTAAGGAGCATCAGTTAGCTGATATATATGAGACAACTCTTTCACCTTTCTGATTATGTACTTAGCTTTGTCACACAGCTGTCTAATTCCCTACTCAGGATATTTTGTCCAGATCAATTAATTGTGAAACACACGTGCTCTCATTTACCCGAGCCCACCTGTTTATCGCCAGCTTAACATTTTCATCAGGCGCTTTCTGACAAAAGCACTCCAAGACCTGTATTTGACTTACAAATGTAAATATCATCATAGCCTCAGACTTCGTCCTTTATTTTCCATTTCGCTATTTTTCTGTCATGCTCTCAGAAAGTTTGCTGCTGAACTTTGCTACTTCAAGATGTTGTGTGTTTCAAAGAGACACTGAGCATTACAAAGTACAATTTTTCAGAAGGCATGCTTGAAAGTTTATGCCAGGATTTTTTTTTTTCAAATGCATGTAACGATCTCTTTTTGTAACTACACTTTAAAATTTATCAACAAAAAAAGTTGAAATTTGCTGACCAGCTGCAACAGCAGAGCAAAATAGGCCGTGCAGATAGAGCTGTGGGAAGAACAGATACCAACAAAATAAGTCAGGCAGCAAAGCAAGTCAGAAACAAATGTGGGATCTTCTTCTTTCAATTATTGTAGTTGTTGTTTTCAGATCGAGAGGTACATTTCAAGGTGGTGGCTACCTGCCTGCATCATCGAGGCTTTTAGGGCTTTGGGCTTCGTGAAGGGCAGCTGGGTATGGAGATGGCACAGTAGCTGCTCAAAGACTGGATGACTTTCAGCCAAGCCAGCTCTATCTCATCTCCCTGGGTTTATTCATTCAATGCCGCTAAAAGTTCAACATTCCCAAATGTTGTGATGAAATCTCAGATTTACTACATAGCTGTCCTACATGACAATTAGTACCTTTTTAATATTGCATTTACCTCTTGGAAATATAATCCTATTTTGTAAATGCCACATTCAGGAATGTATTCTGCTCTCTTCAGGGAACACGTCTCAGGCTTGTGACTTTATATCAAACAGCTGACGTAAAAAAGCCAAACGTTCACCTTGGTATGACTTGGTCTCCACTGGGCATTTCTACTGTAGCTGGTGTCGTTGGCAAGTCCATGGGTTCACGAACTGGGTTTAGCTTATCAGATGTGTGCTTTGGAGGCTAAATGTGCTTATCTTATTTTCATATCTTAGAGCCCAGCCTGCAAACATTTGCTACTGAATTTGGCTATTACAGAGAGAAACAGGCCCATTGACTTCAAATGTGACAACGTATTACATAGTAAGCTTGGAAGTAACTTTTTACAATGTCCTTAATGTGGGTTTATAGCAATCCCATTCATTTTTAAACAGGACTGACTAAAGAAATTGACGGACTTGCACAAAACAATCATATAAGAGAAGAACCAATAACTCTTTTCTTAAGCTTCTCCTCTTTCCTGTAGCTCCTAACTCTTTCTTCTCTTTTTCCACTTCTTGTATTAATAATCCCATAGAAGCCCTCATATATGCACATAACCCCAGGAGCAGAACAAGAATACATATTCCTAGGAAGTCCCCAGAGCAAGTGTGCTTTGCTGGTGAAAGGAGGAGAATTTTGCCCGTATTTTTTATCTCAATATCCAGTCAGCCATGCCCTCCAGACTCAGCTCTGACAGAGGGCTGTAATCTCTGTGGATGTTCGTATCTGTGCTGCCCTCTCAGATGAGGAATCTTTCTTCCCTTTTGTGGCACAATATATATTGTGCATGCAGTGGCCTAAACCAGTTAATCACAGGTGTGAATTCTCCTTGGAGTGCTTATTTTTCTGTCTTATACCCTGTTATCGTTGTTATCAGCTATATATCGTTATTCTAAGGCTTTTAATAGGTTGAATTGGGTTCCAAAAGCACGTGTGATAAGTTGAGACTTCTTCCATCTCTACAATTTATGCTAAAGCCCAGTGCAGAAGGACCCCAGAATAAAAATTGCTAGCTGTCTCCTCCCCAGATAGATACAAAACTCTCCATTTTCACAGGAATGGACATGCTTATCCTTGCTTTGTCCTGTGCAGAAGAGACAAACTGTAGGAAACCTCATAAAGTTGGATATAGGAGCCTAATAGTAAGGAAAGATAGTTTCATATTAGCATTGATCCCTATTAGCATTAGATTAACTCATAGTGGTGAACCCTGGCTGCAATATGGGACCTTCACTGCCCCTGTGGGAGACAGGCAGCTGGGCAGGGCAAGAGCCCATGGGGTCAGCCCAGTTCCAACTGCAGTTTAGCACACAGTTTTCTTTCACTGCTGTGGGAGCGGGATTACCATCTCTAAACAGCTCGAATTTGGATGAAGAATTTGCATTGTGCCATTCTAACATGGGACTGTGGGCTAGCTTAAGGCAACACATTCTTTTGGCAACACATCTCTGTGGCAGGAGGTGCCAGTGGGCCCTCAAAGCGACGCAAGAGCCATGCAGTCACGAGAGACACCGATGAAAAACCATACAGAAAATCTGTAGCCACATTACATCCATTTTTTCCTTCCGCCCAGAGTTTCAGGAGACAGCAGGCCATCTGCAGACTCACCACAAATGCCCAGCTCTGGAAGCCGGTGCCGTACACGGGGTCCTCTTTGCTCTTCTTGAAAACAAGAAGAACTTGAGCACGCTGGAGACGGTTCTTCTTAGATGCAGAAGGGGAAGGCACACTTCAGCAGCCATGAATCACGAGCAGCCTCTTGCTAGCTCGATGAAGCCTCGCTGGCTGTTGTCCCCAGTGTTTTGCCACTGATGACTTGAGCTCTCTTCTGCTACCTCCCTTGCCAATGCTTTTTTTCACTGCCTCATGAAAGTTAGGGTTCTAGGTATGCTGCAGCATGTGTTTCCTTCTTGTGAGTGGTGAAAAAGAGCAATTGGATGTGTGGAGTTTCTTTCCAGAAAGCTGGTTTATGCTCTGTAATAAGGTTTGGCCTTATTTTTATCAGGATTAACCTGTAAGATTCATACTTGAAGTTAAGCTCTGATGTCTTTCTGCCTAACATGGCTGACTTGGATTTAAATATCTGCATATCAGCTTTAAAAGCCTTTGGAGCACTTCTCTGAATAAAATTAGTATTAGTACTCTTGAACTGTGCAAAATATTCAGGGAGAGCAAATCTCGTATGAGGCATGACTCCTGGTCCCCTTTTTTTGCCCACCTAGTGCCTAACTCCAGTTGCAATGGCTTTGACGAGGCTGTCCCAAGGCCTTACAGAACGTCCCCGGGAAAGCAGATCTGCTTCGTTGCGACTGTTCGCTTGGCAACGCCTCAGTTTTTAAAGGTAAGTGCGTACCCTGGGTCCCATTCATTTCAGAACTTCCAAAAACACTTTCAGACAGGGTGACACGCAACATTCTTAGTTTTGCTAATTGAATGGATTACAGATATCACATTTCATGCATAAAAATCCAGTGAAGAGGATTATCAGTGCGAGCCAGGATCTGCAGAAGCGGTGTCACTTCTGCCCCCACTTGCATGGGAAATGGAAACCCTCCTTGCGCTAGAAATTGCAAAGTCACTTTGGAATTGGGTTCTTCACTGCTGCTTTTTGTTCCTGCGCTGGGCTGGTGTACAGATGGCCACCAGCGCTTTCATTTGTGCCCCTCGGTGTCTTCGGGTGACTGCTGCTATTGTACCTTCACCCAAATCCTGGTGTTAAGATAGTTGCTTCTGGAAATAGGGATAGACCACGCAACCTTGTGCCTGGCACTGCGGTTCCCTAATTAACAAATGTGAGCTACTGCATCAGGCATCCCGGCCTCAGAGGTTAGGAGATTAAAAAGTCTAACTGACACCTGGCCAGTATGAAATCACTGCTCCCTTGGCCTGGCTCTGTTACTGCTTGGGGACCTGCAGGGCACTCTCGGCTGATTCATGGCCCCAGCAGGCAAGCACGGTCCCTTCTGGGTAAATGCGGACAATTCCCATACACGTTAGCCACAGTAATCACATTACCAGTAGAGGCTGGTGTTAAGGTTCTCCGGGAATCCTGAAAGCAAATTCCCTTGTCTTTGGGTAGCTAACATCTCAAAATAAACAGGGAAATTAAATGGGCTGCATGTAGCAATGAGCTGCCCAGCGCTAGGAAGGAAGCAGCCGCTGAACAACCCGGAGAAGGTGTCAGCTGCCACGAAATCCTAGACACTGATCTCTTCAGTTCATCTGGGTGACTGACTTAACCCCCGCTCTTGACTTCCTCCTCTAAAATGAAGGCAAAAATATTTCTCTGACTGGCTAAGCAGGGCAGAATCAGCATTTTGGTTTCACACGGCAATGTTTGAACATTGCACCTTGAATTTTAGGGTATGTTCTTGGCATCAGCATGGATTTTGGTGTGAACTGGAGGGGGGCAGAGAGGAATCTAAGGTATGCATGAAGCCTTTTGCCACTGTACAGTCAGCAACTTTAATCACCATTGTTGGCCTTGATACGTATCAAAGAAACGCTTGATGGCACCGCGCCTCCGCTTGTCCTCTGGTCCCAACAGGGTTTATAACCATTGGTGGTCTGAAAGACTTCTCTCCGCAAGAGCGACAGGAGAGAGACAAGTAGCAGTGGAGATGATGGGAGGGTGTTGCTGAGCCCATGGCGCAGGGTGACGTGGCACCAGGGAGCAGGGGAACAGCAGCATCGGGGGCCAGTGGGCACACTGTCCTTACGAGTGATGATGGAGACCCTCCTGCAGGAGAGGCATGGGGGATACAATAACCCTGGATGCCACCAGATCCTGAGGGCTGATGCTGGCAAGTCCCAGGCCCGGAGTCTCCAGGCTGACTCTAGGCAGCTCACAGAGCTGGAGTTGCCCCTGCAAACTGCCAGTGGGAGAGGAGAGCTCGGCAGAGGGGAGCTGCGGGTGGGCTGGGAGCCAGCCGTCGGGCACGCAGCCAGCCCCCGCCCCGGGCCCCGCGGCCACCCCCAGCCTACACCCGGGCGTGCACCATGGTGCTATCCTTCCTCCCCTTCCCACCTCCACCCAGCAGCTAATCCCTCCCAACTACGTCCTGATCCCCATCCCTCTGGGCCAAGGATGTCCCGCCTTGCAGACAGCCCTGTGCCCCACCTCATCTAGTGCACTTATTAATTATCATATTCATGAGCACCGAGGGCTGCTGTGAGTCTTGAGGGCCAGCTTCTTCACTGCGGGAGTGAAGTGCAAGGCAAAACCGCCGCCTTTCACTTGCCTGACGGGCCCCAGGCAGGCTGCCTGCCTGACAAGGCATTCCGCCTCTGCAGCTATCAAGTGGGACGGAGAGCAGACATCCAAAAGGGCCAGGCAAGGGCAGCGGGTATCTTAAGTAAAAGAAGAGAGCAAGGAAAGACGTGGCAAATGCAGGTGGGACCAAGCACGGCTGGATGCTGGGAAAGGGCATTGCTCCTCAGAGCTGTAGGGAGCACAGCTCTCACACCCTAGGCACTGCTTCAAAGCCATAAAAATTTTGGCACTCCAAGGAGCAGTCATGGCTCTTAAGTGCATGGGCATCACAAGTTCTTCTCCCCGACTCCTGCAAAAATGTTGGCATTGATTAATACAATAGATCACTCTCTGGAATTGCCAGAAAACGTGTGAATCCTCTGTTTTCTCCTCTTATGCGCTGTGTATTTATAGCTAACAAAAGCTAGATGAAGCAGAGGGGTGAAGCTGCAACTCTCACTAAGTTGGTTTTCTTCACCATGCAGGAGATGTGCATTGTGGAAGAACCTTTAGAAGAATTCACATCAAGACACAGTCTGGAGTGGAAATTTTTATTCCTGGATCACAGGTTGGTGACAAGAAAAGCACTCCTGGTTGTGTTTGGTGCTTGTCTACTGCTATTTTCTAAGTGCAATTCTCTCAAATAGTGTCACATTTCACATCTAAACAAGAGGGCAACCACTGAAATTCCTACAAAAGATGATATTTACTATTTCACCCTGCACTTATTTTTACATCTTTTAAAACAAAACTACTTCGTTTCTGCGGCCGAATTTGTGATTAGTTTGTTCTTGTTTGCTTTAAAAACGTCAGTGGACCAAAGTCTGTCACATGGAGAAATCATCTAATTGTTGTACAGCTGTGGAAATCATCCTTTCCAAATGCAGCCGCTGATTGTGTGTGCAGTTCCCACCGAGGAGGGGAAGTCTGCGCTGGCCTGAGGCAACTGTGCTGGCAAAGGTACAAAGCAACTGCCTCAGCAGCCATGGACGAGCTCTGCAGACACCCAGAGGGAAGCGGCACAGATGATCTCCCCTCCCACCCCCCTAGTCCCAGCAGACGATGGCCTCCTATCACCTCGCCACGCATTTTCCCCTGTGCAGGGACTGCAGGAGCCACAGCAGAGCCCCTGACCAAGGAACAGGCAGGGAACGGCTCCCTTACAGCAGGTTCTTGCCCCTGCAACTTGCCACAACCGCTTTTTCCCTGGAAAGATGGGGTTGCCATGGCCTTGTCCTGGGGGGACCGTGCCTGCCAGCACTGTCGTGCCCAGCTGGGCATCCCGGGCATGAGGCGGGGGAAAGTCAGGATCCGGTCCCGTGGCGGGGACGACTGTGCAGCGATGAGCGAGAGTAGATCTGGGCTTTTTACACATCCCCGCCCACATGCAGAACTGCTGTCTCTTTCGAGGTTTATGAATTCACTCATGTTGTGCCTAACCACAGAGCACCGCCGATTATAGGATACCTGCCTTTTGAAGTGCTGGGTACTTCTGGCTACGACTATTACCATATAGATGACCTAGAGCTGCTAGCAAGGTGCCACGAACACTGTAAGTACCGCATAGCCCAGGTTCCTGCGGAGTCACTGGGGCACCTCTTTCCACTGAAATGTAGTTTCAGTTAAAATCGGTTTAAACTTGGAAGGGGAGGTTTGACCCTTGCCTCACGCCTGTACGTCTTAGCGGAGTTGTAGCAGACGGGGCGCACCGCAGCTGGTTGGCGTCTGGGCCAGACTTACTGAGCTCTGAAAAGAGCAATTTCTGCCTTCCGTATCCCCAGAAGCAGTCAGCAAGGCTCAGTGAGTGGTTAAGATACAACAGATTAGACCCCTGCTCTATTAGTAAAGAATATACAGGAATAGTTCAAGCAACCTCAGAGGAGATCCTATTTTCTAAAATTCTTGTGGATTATTTACCCTAATATTGTTCACCATGTATTTGGCATTACCTGTGATTATTTAAATACAGTCTATTAAGATTTAATTGAAAAACTCTCCCACTGCATAAAGAAAATGAGGCAATCCTTTTCAAGTATTTGCTTACAGAACTGGCTGGAACATCTCAGCTTACCACCTCTGGTAATGTCCTGAAAATATCCCATCAACGTTAGTTTTCTATATGTTGACATTAAAATATAAGAAAGCTAAATTTGGGAACTCCTTGAAATCACTGGGGAAAAAAGCAGAGATCAATTTTGTGGGTGAATCTTTAAAGCCTTTAATACACCCCAGTTTGCTGCACTTTGAATTCTTGTCAGTCTGGGAATTTTCTTTCAGTTTCAAATGATTTTTGTCTTTGCACGATGTTATCTCCCAGACTTACTTCATTCTGCAGAGAATACTCAGCTTTTCAAGCATTTTATCCTGTACTTTTCTGCTATAGAATTTAAGATGATCACTCTTAGAAATTAATCCCAGATGCCTAATTTAGCAGTATGTGATCAGCACATAAAACAGCGTAAGAGCGATGTTTAAGTTGTAGTAGACATTAATGCATTAGTGTCCAAAGTTAATGTTAATTGTACTGTGGAAGAAGGAACCATTCAAAATGTCAGAAGAAGATACCTACTGATCTTTATGATTGTTCCTCTGCCATAAGACTGACAGGACCACTCACTCGAAAGGTGTTTAGGCTCCTGTCTCCCTTGGGAATTGATGGGGCCACAGATATTTTTGTCACTCTTTTCACATTTCATGCCATTTTTACGTTGCGAATTGTGCTACAAGCTGTGTGTATTTTTTGCTGACAGTGATGCAGTTTGGCAAGGGGAAGTCGTGCTGCTATCGGTTTCTGACCAAAGGACAGCAGTGGATCTGGCTCCAGACCCATTACTATATCACCTACCACCAGTGGAACTCCAAGCCAGAGTTCATTGTGTGCACACACATGGTGGTAAGGTATGGAAAATCACATCAACCAGCGGGGACATTAAGGACAGTAAGATAAGGGTATCCTCATGACTGCCAACATTTTCTCTTAAAAACAAAACGTCTTTTACATAACAAAAAATTAAGCCTGAACTCTCTGAAGGAAATATGTTCATTACAGAAAAATGATTGGACTAAACCTCACTTTATGCTAAGCTTGATTTGTCAATCATGAGTTTAGGGGCAGATTAAATCTTGCATTTTTCCATTTTGTGCAAAAATAGAGAATAGACAAATTCCTTAACTATCCACTTTCTCTAATCCTTACACTGTTTTTAAAGAGATATGTGGAAGGTTTCCAATGAAGTCATAAAGTGGTTGTAGGATATGAACTTGACCTTTACATATACTTCTTTAATATACCTCCTGACTTCAAGAAGATAGGAACAGAGCAAAAACTGAATTAAAACCGTCTCTCAAATGTAATTCAATAGCATTTGGCAGAAGTGATTTTTCAGCTGTTCATTTAACCTGTAAAATGCTACAATAATTTGTTCCTCCACTTGCTTAAAGCACATTTTATGAAATAAACCAATACCATGTTGATACATAGAATTATATTTTCCATTCAGTTATGCAGATGTTCGGGTGGAAAGGAGACAGGAGATGGGCTTGGAAGAAGTGTCCTCAGAGGTTGTGTCCTCAGCACTAAAGGTACAGTGAGAAATTTTTTTCATGAATATAGGTAGTAATCACAACACATTTCTTTTTGTTAATGCCATTGAAGACTCCAGCTTTGTCTTTCTGGGTGGATTCCTTCAACTTCAGAATTCATTGCTCACCTGAATAATTTTAAAGTAAATTGGATAAGCTTATTAAAGGATAAACCTGGAGATCGGTACCAGCCACAAATTAAGTGGAACATGGGCAGGGGCACTGTGAGATATCTCCACCTTTCCTTGGCAAGGTACTACAGTTTAAAGATTCATTTGGACACATTCTGACAATCAGCTTTCTTGGCTACATCTCAGTGATCTGCTGAGAGAAGAAAGAGCAGCTCCTCCTCGGTGCACGGCTGAGTGTCTCGCAGAGGCTGCAGTTGCTGTCAAATCCAACTGAATGCAAAAGAAAGATTCAGAGAAACATCTGAAGGCACACAATGGCTATGGCAGTAGCTTGCTATTTATTTCCAACTCAGCGATAGCTCTGTGTAAAATGCATTTGTTAGATGCTATTTGGAAGGGACATTGACACCTGTGCCCAGGTCTTCTGCTGGCTGGCCTGGGATTAGTTCTGCTCCAGTCATTTTAGGCCAGCCAAAGAACTGGGTGTGCAACCATTACCAAATGTATTTCAAAATGTTTTCACCCTGACAGATGCAATAGCTATTCCCTTTTTTTTGTTCGTTTTAGGACAGTGGCGCCAGCTTGGATCCTGAACAGCACTTTAATGCACTTGATATTGGTGCCTCAATCCTCAGCGCTAGTCGGACACCCTCAGTATCATCCAGGAGCTCACCAAAATCTTCCCACACACCCAAGTCAGACCCAGCATGTGAGTGTCATTCCTGGGTTACTGCATTATTTTAAAATTAGCCAAGTTACAGAATGTGTGCCTATATACCACAGCTGCTAATTTGACAGTTATTTATGAGGTATCGATGATATGTGTCACTGACAATGAAGTGCGTAATCTGCAATGGTAACATACAAGAGGGAAGGTTCTAGTGCAACCACCCATACACTGGAAAATGAATGGTGGGACTAGTCATGAGTCCTGCTGTTTCAGTCTGTTACAAAAATGAGGACTTCTGTCTTCAGATCTGAGGGTATCAGTATGAGCAATACGAGGCCCCTCTAGACTTACATGAGTAAGAACAGTCTGTGGGGTGACTCTTTTCTGGCCAAGATTCAGGATGCTTCAGCCAAGACATAGGCACACCTCATACACTCCTTCTGCTCCCTGGTCTGGAAGAAAAGCCATTGAGCTAATCTAAATTTATAGTTATTCGGCCCATATGAAGGAAGTTCCAGCTGTTTTAGAACAGCTCTTGGGTCCTTTTGCTCCATTTGTTGGAGCACAGGATCATAATCTGTCTCATTTACTTTTATCTTTGCCCAGGCCCTCCTTATCAGTTTAATTTTACTGCCATTGAAGTCAACAAGAACAGCCTTGACTCCCGCTGGAATTTAGCCAGGCCGTAATCATTTCTAGCCAGGTCTCGTTGTGATTCCCACTTCAAACGGGGATGATTTCCAGCGTGTGAGAACTCACCAGTACTTTTCTTGCAGCTACACCAACAAAGCTGGTTGCAGAGTCTAACACTCCCTTGCCAAGAACACCGAGCGTGCAGCAGGATTTATCCGTGCATAGACTCAGTCAACCTACTGCTCTTCAGGTAACTTCACAAAGAGTCATTAAAACAGGCAGACGGTATAAAGCACGTGCCACAGATGCAGTTTAGCAATTAAAAACAACTTACACAGAAGCCATGGCATTAGAAGAAACCTGAAATTTAAAGAAGCCAAACTTATAAATAAAGTTTTGTTTTGTTCTAACCCAGGTTTCTTTGTCTTCTCAGCCTTCATGTGAGCTTCTACCACAGCAGTTGCTGCCTCAAGCAAGTCCGCAAAATCAGCCTGCACCTCTGGCACAGGTTAGTTGGGAATTTGGAAGTGGAATAGGTCACTTGCCTGTCTCCTGGTATTTTCTCCTTTGGAGAATTTTAGGTTACCTCTTTAGTAGCTAAAATCTCTAAATCCACCCCAGCTCTCAAACACTTAAAATATTGTGGGAAAGTAATCTGAACTGTACACTTGTGTCTCTAAACACATATCTGCATTGCTGGCATTCAGAGCAGAAGCCCAGGCACATGTAGGTTCAGGTGCACACACACATCTATTTCACAGGAGGACAAAATACAGATGGAAAAAGAGCTTTCAATTTTTCTTCTACAGAATCAGGTCCCATCAAAATCAAGGTCACAATGACAATTAAAAGCAAACCGAAAAACTAACAAAGACCCAGTCCTCCTGAAAACACCTGTTTGTCTGTGCCGATGCAGAACCAACCAGCAGTTCAACAAAACCCATTTCGTGAGTGTGCCAGTAATGATGAGGATGCCGCTAGAGACAAATTTCTCCAGTGAAATCTATTAACCCGTATCTCAAAAGTGGGTGATGACCCAAAAAGCCACGTTAGTGTTTCATTTGCAGTGGATTTTGAAGGAACAAATTTGAGTACCATGTTCTCGTCACATGGTTTCTCTCCTGTGGTCATGCTGTGATGATATGCCCCACCATCCGCTAATTTTAGAATTGATGGAGTAGTCCCAGACTTAGGCTGCTTCTACTGTTGGTACCCTGCACTCCCTCACAAGATTGTGGTGCCCAGCGACAGGACAAGGGGCAATGGGCACAAACTGAGGCACAGGAAGTTCCATCTGAACATGAGGAAGAACTTCTTCCCTCTGAGGGTGACGGAGCACTGGAACAGGCTGCCCAGGGAGGTTGTGGAGTCTCCTTCTCTGGAGATATTCAAGACCCGCCTGCTGTAGTTGACCCTGCTGCGGCAGGGTGGTTGGACTAGATGACCCACAGAGGTCCCTTCCAACCCCGAACATTTTGTGATTTTGTGATCCCAGAGTTTCTTTGTGTAGCATATAAAACTTATAAAGTCCTAAGGAACCCTGCTTTAAAATAGCAAATTCTCATTTATCTTCTACATTTAATATTCTTTTCATGACTCCACACCAGCATGCAGCAAAGAAACAGCATATCAATTATCTGCTCTGAGCATTCATTTTCTTTTGCAGATATTTCTCTCTGTTATTCATTAATGCACTTCCAAACATCAATTAGTTTATTTATTATAAACCCGCGTGTGTTTTGTTTGACTTTTTTCTACCTTCCTTTCTTCTCCATCAAAGCTCTTTGTGAAGGGATGCTTCCCATTCATTTACCGAGAGCCTCACTGCCTTGCCCCTTCCACCGCTCTTACTGGCACGCCAGCTCCATCTCTTTGCCAAACCGGAGCGCCGTCCAGTCACACAGCCGCTGGTTAAGCCTCTTTGGACTGGCTAAATCTCGGTGAAAAGGAGGGGGCTGACTCGAGTCTGTCCACACAGGCAGCCCTCTTCTTGACTGGCAGCAAAGTCACAGCAATGCTCTTGGCGAAGCTCAAGACGGAGCTTCCCTTGATGCGGAGCTGGGAAGTAGCACCAGGACGTTGCCGCTCGGGTCACCAAGGCTCACACCCCATAGAGACACTCCTGGGAAAGGCAGCAATTCTCCGCAGACTTGGGTGATTTTCATAAGCCATTAGTTGTTTTCTTCAGTTGCTTACCTCCCACCTTAAAATAATAAACATGTCAGCCTACAGCAAGATAATCCATTATTTACAAGACAAGGTGCCCGCAGCGCTAAGCGAAGGAGTGACGAAACCCAGGTGCGCGTGCTTCCCACCGCCAACATTTCCTCGGCTTCCCAGTTAACCGTTTCGCAGCAGTTCAGTGGCAGAACGCAAGCTCATCGCTTTTAGAAACAGCATGACCGGTCGCCCGAGGAGGAGCTGCGCAGGTTGCTCCCCGCTGCCCTTCTGCCGCTCGCCCTCGGCTGAAGGTGACCGATGGCCGGAGCTGAAGGGCAGGGTGCCGAGCCGGGCTGCGCAGAGCCCCGGCACTCTGACGGGCGTCCCTGGGGCTAACGTTTGGCTGCGGGGCGGTGGCAGTGGGGAAGGACATTTTAAGCGGCCATGACCACATCTGCAGCGAGCAGCTAGCTGCTGCCTCGGGCACCATCTGCTCGGACTTGGGTTAGTTTTATTTCGAGCAAAGGCTGCGATGGTTTTGTCTCCACTGAAATGCGGTTTTAGCTTCTGCCTTGCTTGCCTGAATGAACAGAGAGCACAGTGCTAGATGTCGCCTGAATGTAAATTGTTTACTTTAAACCAACTGCTCCCTATTACAATCTTTGTTTGTTTGCCTTCCTCATTGTAATAAATTAGAATCCCCTACAACACAGCGGATGTTGATGACTGAATAATAATTAGCACTAATAATCCGTTTGGGACTGCGCAGGTGTTATTCAGAAGACAGAAAGAACGAACAAGTTGTTTAGTGAGCTGCAAAACTGATGAAACCCAGGTTCCCAGGGCTGCAAGGCTGGAGCAGGGACCCAGCCTTCCCTGCCGGAGGGCGGCGAGTGGGTCCCTCTCTCCTTCCCTCAGCTGTAGCTTCCATGAAACTACAGCAACCTGGTATTTCTGAGACTGTCACAGCTCTGTCGCATGTCTCTAGCATTGGCCAGGTGGATGGAAAGTTGGGAGGTGGGCAGAAAAGAAAAGTTTGAAGGAAACTGCGCTAAAAAATGAATAGGCGCTCTTCTTTACCCGGCTACCTATTGTCATGAACCCTGTAGGAAAAGAATGTCTTTGAGGCATCCATCTTTTAGCCCTCCGTGGGCCGAGTCCAGCTGGCCCGTTCAGATGTCTGCGCTGCCGGGGCAGCGTCACAGCCCAGAAGCGCCGGTCCCTCTCCCTGGGCTGCACAGCCCGCCTGGCCCGCCAGTGCCAGTGCGTCGAGCCCGTCCCTACCAGGACATCCCAAAAGAATCACTTTTTTTTGTTGTTGTTTTTATTAAATCAGACTAAAATTACTGCTGTGGGGGTTTTTTTGTCTTCATAGCAAACCTTAATTAAACTGGTGCAATTATAGGTATCTCACAGGTTTAGTCTTCCATGTTTGACTGCGTGTGGAGAGCTGGCACTTTTCTGTGGGTAACACACGCTTTTCTGAGGAGCCGATGGAAGTTTGTAAATAGCTAAAAGTGAGACAGACAGCAACTTCACCTGATGCCAAAGGCAGAGTTAAAGCTGTGCAGTGTTTTCTGTGGAACATTTTGAGTTAAACTCTTTTAATTTATTGTACAATTACAGATTTCTCCCCTAATTAGTAGAGCGGTTAATGATCTTGAGATAAATACTCTCTGGTGCAGGTCAACTACTGTTAGTGTCTCATTGTACAAAAACAATAGAAGCTCTGTAATCACAGGGGTCATGGCTAGAGTTATCAACAAATTTGGGGGTTAGAGTGGGAAAGGGAAAAAAGCAAGAGAGAACGTTCCTTGTCTGCTTCTATAATGGCTCTCCCTCTAGCGGACCAGCTAATTGTTGTTGTTAAGTGTATTAATACAAAAAGCACATGAGGAAGAGAACAAAAAGACAGTACTGGATGCATATGCTAACTATAAGAAGGTGCTGGCAAAAAATTAAGGAATAATAATTTTAAATCAACAGCAATATATTTTTGCATGCAACTTTGCAAAGAAAATTCAAATTTAAAACTAAGGCCCGGAAATGGATTTTGTTTCATATTGAAGTATAAAATGATTATAAAATCATCTGTTATCAAATTCTGTATGTATATTAATTGAAGAAAATTGTGTTCCTTTCCCCAAGTGTCTTCAAGGACTTTGCACATTAATGAACAGTCTGCCATCGGCAAGCCAGGCAGTTAAAATGAAGCTTTTGGCTAAAATTGTTTTTATTTCCTTTCTGATAAGGATCCTCTTAAAGACGGAAGAGTAGTCCTCGCTAACAAAGTTCATATAGAGAGAACTGGCCTTTTTTAAAATCCTTCTGTACAGACCCAGGTTAAAGCAGGAATTACCTGCGTCTCATCTATTCAAGCCATAGTGTCATTCCACTCCTAAATGGAATGGTAGCCGGGACTCTTCAGAAAACATGGAGTCAGGCCACAACAAGCAGCCGGACGCTCCTTTGAGCCACTTGTCCTTGTGTCCAGCCATCAGAGGTTTCCACTCATCCATTCCTCGGGTTAGTGCTTTATACATGGACCAGGAAAAGAAAGCGCCCCAGCTGTGACTTCTCTCCTTCAACACCGATTAGAAGTAACTCAAACTTCCCTTCGGGAGCTGTGACACCATTTTTCTGCTCTGGGGGAGGACGGGACTGCGGACGGCAGTGCTGCTGTGGGTCGTGGTGCCGGGGGCCGAGTGCTCGTGTTACCTCCTGGGGCAGACCGCGCAAGCTGCGAGCGCTCGCAGGTGCCCCTGCCACCAGAGTGGGCTCAGAGGGTCTCTGCCAGCAGCAGCAGCAGCCTCAGCAGCCCTCCTTCCCCCTGCGCGTGGCTGGCCATGATGCTCCCCGCCACCCTGCCGCCACTCCGTGAGCGGTGACCTCCTGGGTTGAAAGCCGCCCTCCACCTGGTAAATGGAAATAAACCCTCTCAAGTTCTCGTCCTTTCTCACTTAAAGGCCATTTACTTGGAGGTTTCAGCTTTGCTGGAGGGAATGTGAAGGTACTGTCACATATTTAGCTGGTTTAAGGCAAAGTGGTTAGCTGATACAAATCTGACCTGTCACATATAGATTTCTTTAAGTAGCCAGAAATTTAATTTAACTGTACAGAGTTGCTAGCACCAGAGCTCTCCTTAATTCCCTTCTTGTTACCATTTTTGTTTTCCTATTAAAAAGCCAGAAATGGTGTAAGCAAGTGCACCTCCATGGAGCAGGAAGGCTGCAGCGGCATGCGTCAGTCCAGTAGCACAGAGCCACTGGAACAACCACAGGAACAGGGCACCATTCTCAAGTCACACTAAAATTATTGGTTTTCTTTTGCCTGGACACTCACAGCACTGCATGTTTTCAGACAGGTCTTGGATGCCTTGATTACAGAAAAGCGTACAGATTTTTTGAAGTGTCTTTTTTCCAAAGACTGCTTTTTAGTTTTGGAATATGACCTCGTGCAAAGCAACTATGCCAAAGCCTATTAAAGTAATAATTAACTTTGGTGGACTTTGAATCATATCCAAATAAAACTGGGAATTTATCGCCGTGTTAGTCCCCTCCACACTTATTGAATGATTCCACTTTGTGCCAGGTATTGCTGCTACTGGAGGTCGCACTTTCTTCTTAACCTTGATTAGTGATCTCCGTTTTATGTTATTATTTAGAATAGCCTTTCTCCCACTGACCTGAGCTATCCACTTTACATCACGTATAGAAATAACTTGATGAGTACTCCTAGTAGCTTGACTACTACTCAGCTGTAGAAATCTAGAAAATGTTTACTGTGGTCAGCTGTTGCGTGATGCTACTGTAAGTCAGCAGCAGAATAAACCACTGCAGCACTGGTATTTCTGCCCGGAAAAAGGAAAGTGTTAGTAAAACACATCTGGAATATACAGTTATGCCACACTAAGGGCTCCAAACTACAGGCTAATAGCAATAATAATAATAATGATAATAATAATAATAATAATAATGCACTCATCTGCCATCTAATTAAGATGCTCTTGATGTTTTAAAGTAGCGTACTCTCAAAACCAGTCCTTCTGATAATTCCGTAACAGAACAGGGTCAGTTGTAAGCAGGTCACTCTAACTGAGGCAATTTAATATATGTGCGTAAAATTGAAAATAGACAAGATTTATCTCTGCCTAGATGCTAGTGTATTACAAACACGTCTTTTATTCCTTTGGCCATGCTTTACAATCAAGAAACCAATAACTTCTTACAGACTAATGTTCTATTGAGGGCTGTTTGTGTTATGACCGATTTTTTCCACTTCTTTTTTTTTTTTTTTTCCAGTTCTCGGCACAGTTCAGCATGTTCCAGACCATCAAGGACCAGCTAGAGCAGCGGACCCGGATCCTGCAGGCCAACATCCGGTGGCAGCAGGAGGAGCTCCAGAAGATACAGGAGCAGCTCTGCCTGGTCCAGGACTCCAGCGTACAGGTGCGTTGCTGCTGGGAGGGGCAGAGCGAAGCGTCCTCTCTCGCGTGGCCATTGATAGCATTGGCAACTTGAAATTAGCTTGATAGCATTGGCAACTTGAAATTAGGGTCCAGGAAATCTGGACATGTGGAAACCAGCTCATGTGAATGAGGATGTTGCCCTCTGAAAGTCTCCTGAGTAATCTACATCAAAAAAGATTTAAGAGCTCTCTGGAAAAAAAGAAGGAAGAAATATCTCAACCTTAGGAGGAGGAGAAGAATTCACATCATTTACAGTAACATTTTAAAACTTTAATCTACTGAGTCTTCAAACTGAGCAGCTGTAATAGAAAAGTGTTCAAGTTCAAACTTGGCACTGATTATGTCTCTCAAGTTCATTAGCTTCCATCCAGTCACTGCTTGCTTCATGTTGGCATCACTCGTGCTCTGTATGTCGTCTGTCCAGCTCTTCCTTGGCAAACGGCCCCCCTCCAAGCAGTGCTCATCTCTTTCATTCACCCCGTTCTCCTGACCCTACCCAGCCCAGATACAGAGCACAAGAGATTAATTTCCTTGCCGCCTTAAAAAAACCCAAACCTCTGCTGATGTTCATTTGTTCACACCTGGGAGGTGTCTGAATTCGTGCTTCATTGGATCAGCTTAAGCCTTTAGGGTGAAGCTGACAGAGCCTGCTCTTCTTCTGCCTGATACCTCCTATGCAGATCTAGAATTCACTAAGTACAGTACCTGCTTTTAATTCACCAAGTACAGTATCTGCTTTGTACTACCCCTTATGTCTAACAAAGCTCAGAAATAATAGCAAGTGCAGTTCAGTACATTGCAGGTTTCACTTAACAACAAACGGACAAGTCATCCAGTTTTATGGAAGTTTTCTAAACACAGGGTGATTACTGCTGTGTTCCTCATAATTTACCTATAAATGCCAGGTCAAATGACCCTTGCTGGAAATATTGCATTGGGGACCCACTGTAGGCGTTGTACTAACAGGATTTTTTTAGAAGACAAGCTCTGTCACAGAAACAAATGTCTCAAAGAACATTTTAAGCACAGGATGAAAACCTGGGACCTGATGAAGTCAGCGGGAATTTTGCTCCTGACTTCCACAGAAACAGACTCTCACCCCGCAGCAGCATCTGTGAAATGCAGTGTCACATATTAAAAGAAATTGGGATGGTATGTTTAGACAACTAAGGGATCAGTGAAGCCAAATTATAAACTCTGCCACCTGAGTTGTTGCATGTGCACTGCTGTGGGACAGCACAGCAGTGGTGGGTCCCAAAACCAGGATGGCACCAGTTCCTGGTGCCATATAAGCATACAGGTAGACCAGGTTTAACTTAGTGCATTTCTTCTATCAGTTCTGCGCTGACTTTGATTAATGGGAAGAAAAAGTCTCTCTGCAATTAACTGGCCTTCAGTTCGGAATTATGTCATATGTCTGAAAGCTATTATTGTTATTACGAATACCAAGAGACGTGATATTCTCACTTCCTCTCTTTTTAATTGGGTGAAAACCATTACTCTCTCCTGGTGAAGTCTTCAATAGTCACATACACTCATCCTTTTTTTTTTTTTTTTTGCATAATTCAGGCAAAAATAGAAGATCATAGCACATTCTTATATGCAGGAAACGGATTTGATTTTTACATAGCTGTCCCCCATGTGCGCTACAGCACATTTAATAACCCGAAGACCGTGGGACAGATTCTCAGACACGCTCACAGAGAGCTCAAGCAGAGAGAAGAGGAGGTCCAGTGGGTAAATGGTGGGTAGTTCTGTATTGCCCATCCCACAGCAATTTGCAGCTCTGAGTTACACCATGATCCTCTCCCCCAAGAAGACTGTTTGGACCAAGTATTTTCAGACCCGTACAAGTCCTCTAGTGTCAGTACTGAGCGGCCTACTGCAGATGCAGAACTGAGAGGCAGGGAGCCTGGAGGGCAGCTCGGAAATGCAGGGGCTGCATATGTGCCTGAGGGGGCAATGCTGGACAGGGAGGGCCATCCTCTGTAGTTTGAGTGCCTTTCAGTCTCCTCAGAGCATCCAAACAAGGCGATGAGATGCAAGCGGTCACACTGCCTCACGGCCAGGGTCTTTTCCTTCTCCCACTTTGTTTAGGTTAAAAAAAAAAACCCATAAAGATGTTACTGTGCTGTTGCAGGGATAGAGTGAGACCAGGAATTAGCTTTTTCTTGTTTGGCATGGAGGCAACTTAAAAGAAAGCCTCACACTTTTGCGTGCAGCCCTTCTGTGACTCACAGGCAGCTAGGAGTAAACTGTTAAATCAGAAATCCAGCCACGTGCTTTGCCGCCCAGATTTCATCGTTCAGGGAGCTGGATGTCTGCAGACATTGATCTGTGTCTATTATCAGAGCTACAAAGCATAGTAGCAAACAGGCAAGTGTTGCTATCAAGCACATTTCTGGTTTCTTTAGTATTCCGCGTAGAAGAGTTGTAAGCACAGAGGAGTGCCGTAGGCTGTCTGAAAAGGGGGAAGTGTTCTCTGGTTTTCCCTCGTTAGCTGATTTATTAGCATATCTTCCCCACTGGTTCACTCCCTTCCACACAGAAGAGAACGGGTAGCTCTGCAGAGAATTAGGCCCCATTTCCATTTCCTTCAGAGATCTTCAAAACTGCAGTACGGCAGTCCACCTAGAAACACTTTCTCAACTGGACAGACGTTGAGCACAGTAGTCGGCATTAGAAACTATTTCCAAGAGCCTTGTGCAATGAAAGATGAAACTAGCAGGAGGGTTGTGGGCCCTGAACAAAAGTGTTCAAAACTCCGTTAAATCCCTGTTACTGCTCTTCCTGACAAACGAAAGTGTGAAGGACAGGATCAGCAAGAGTAACCTCAGAAGTCTGAAGGATGCTGTGTCTGCTCCAGATTTGAGCCATCTAGCTAATGAATTGCGGATGGGGAGGAAGGCAGCAGGGCTGAGCCTGACCAGCCTGCAAGAACTACAAACGAGACCGTCCAAAGCCACCCATCATTTGCAAACCAGTCTCCCTTCGAAGTCAGTGAATCTCAGCTTCTCGGTGCTGTGCTTCTCATCTTTCCATATTTCCATAGAGTCTTGATGTCTGTAATGATGAGCCCGAAGGCTATAAACCCCTGATTATCCAAGGGACAGGTAGAGTCAAAGAGCCATTTTCCTCACGACGTCTTGCCAACGTGATTCATCCATTAGCTGTAGGGACCATCTATCTCGGAACGCGGGGGCAGAAGTGTCAGGGGGTCCCTCCCCTCCCTCGCTGCTTTGCTGCGTATGTTAACAAGCTGGCCAATTAAAAAATATTTGTAAGATGCTTCACTGACCTTCCAGTCTGCAAATTCAGCCACGAGATGTGTCATTAGCAGCAGTGCAGTTAGGGGGCTACTAATTTATCTACTTGGATTTGCTCAGGCTGGGAAAGATTTCATTCTTCATTATGGGGTTTCTGTTGTTATTTAAAGCTGCCATATTTCAGTGTCTCAGGGGAATTCAGGCAGAACTACCACAAAAGAGGCATATTATTCAAAAAAAAAAAAAAAAAGGGACGTTTTGTACAAATGAAGCGTGTTCTTGCTTTTAGGCTTAACTAGCAGGTAGAAATTCCACGCTTCAGTCCTCTCACAGGTTAACTTTTGTTTTGATGAGGCATCCTGAGTCTTCCAGTTCTGCAGGGACGCGGGTTAAATGGCACCATTGCTTCCTGCCCCGAGTTTATTTTTCCAGGACATTTATGTTCAGACAGTAATAATGCTGCTTTGGCCATTATAACGCAACAGAGGGTCCCTAGGTAAGAAACACTCAGAGCCCTCTCAGAGTACAAACACGTGAACAAATAAAACTGGTTTACTGGGATAAACTTTGTTGTGAATTTACAGCGTGTTACCTGACAACCATTAACCGTGCACGCTCCTGCCCAGCCTGGTAATTGCAAAGGAGGCTACTTTGCTTTCTTGCAAGGATAAGCTCCTTGGCCTTCATCTGGAACTAAGGCATGCACACAGGCAGAGTAAGTCATTTGCCGCCAAGTTCATGCCCTGCCTGGCATTCGCGTTGATAGATTTTGACTTTGCATTGGATGAACTTAGTATTTCCCCACCACTATGTGCCACGTACAGGGAGGACACTTAAGATAATCCTCCTAAAGGTCTTAATTTGTGGTGATCTGGCCAGTACAAGTGGGCTTACACTACCCATCACATTTTCTGAAACACACCACTTGCTTTACCTGTTCTTAATTGCATATCAAAAGTTTTATATCAAATTTTATATCAATGGCAACCAGTTTCGTTGCTGGAGCTAATCAAGTGAGTTCATTTACCAAATGTGTCCAAAGCTTAGCTTCTCTATACAGAAAATAAACAAGAAAATTAATTTTCATAATTTCTGTCTTTGATTTATCCATAATAAGACCTATTTACTTGGCAGAAGTTGCAAGACCATCTGTCTTTCTGATATGTAATGGCTCCAAACCCAGTAAGCAGTGTTTTTAAAAAAAACACTCGGAGCTAGTTTCAGACCTGCTGTGAGCAGCCCCAGCTCTGTTACCTGACCCATTTATTTCTGTTCTATCAGACATCTTTGAGATGTGGTTAGCCTACAGCACCTGAAACAAGCTGTTGCTTTAGGTCCATTAACATTTTCATGAATTGCCCCCCTCTCTCAGCTGATTAGTGTAAGCTTTGTCTGTACCTTTTCTCTCAGTAAAATCTCGGCACACAGAAATTCATTAAAAATTTATCATAATTAAATAAAAACCGTGTTTTAAAAGCTAGATAAATAAGCACAAACATGATGGATCAACCCATACTTACGTAAAGAAAAGCAATGCATTGTGCCAGTCCTTCGGAGAAGGATATGGGTTTTTTCCAAGAAAAATTAGAGGGGACATAATAGTTTAGGGAATTGTTAATACAGCAATAAGCTGCAGAAAGGCATACTAATTACAGGGAGTACCTCAGACCTGCTAGGCATGAGACTGATGGATGAATAACGAAGAGAATAATTGTGATTCTGATTTCATTTAAACCCCAGCTAGCTCCACTTAAGTTGATGGAGTTCCTCATTGTGTAGAAGTGGTGTGGAATCAGAATCAGATCAAAAAATTCCTTCAACTACCTGGGATGCGCACCTCTGCACAGTCCTGGTTGGCGAAAGGCTAGGTTTGAAATATTGCAAAGATAGATTGTAGCATTAATAATTTGTAGTTTTAAAAGATGCCTTTTTCTGCTGTACAGGTATAATAAAAGAAATAGCCCCTAGAAAAGCAAAAATTCCCAAGCCCTACAACTTTTAAAGAAGAAATCCTCAACTTGCAGTGGAGGCATGGGGAGTATACCATTCACAGAAACACAAACAGAGGAGCTGCGAGCTCTTTTGCACAAGCCAGATGCATGGCACGGTTAGGAAGAACACCAGGTGACAGTTACCTGATGGGACATCAGATAAATGACAGTGACTGTCTGTTTACACATCTCAATGATAAGCACACGGCCGTTCAACATGGACAGCTCTGGCCTGACTGTGGCCTCATTAAAAACATTTGACAACCCAACTGTATGCAAGGTGTTGAATTTCCAGAGACAAATTCAAAAGCAGCCCTGTCTGAAAGGCAGGCTGATTTTGTTGAACGGAGAAATGAAAGGACTGAAAAGACATGGAGGTACTCTCTTCTCTCTGGTCAGGATGCCCCAGAACACAGTGAATGTACAGGGCACTGCTCTTACGTGGGCTGTGCCTGCCCCACGGAGAGAGGACTTTTACCTTCAGGACACATTTCATGAGCTATGAGTGCACTTGCAGAACAGGAAATCAAGAAACTAGAGACAGCAGAACTGTTAATGTAGGAAAGACAGGTGATTTCCAACTAACAGTAAATGCATAATGAATCCAGAAACGTGATAACTTTATTTTAGAATATATTTTTGGATTTAATGCTGTCACCTTCGTTATCCAAGACAGCTGGGCTATGTAAATAAACCCTCTTCGCTTCTTTTCCAGATGTTCCTACAGCAGCCGACGGTGTCCCTGAGCTTTAGCAATCCTCAGCAGTCAGAGCCGCAACAGCTACAGCAGAGGTCAGGGGCCATTTCTCAGCAGCAGCTCGTCCCCAGTCCTCAACTTCAAGGGCAAATTGCATCTTCGCAAACAGCGAACCAGCAAGCACTGAGAGAAGCAAGCGTGATATCGAGCCAGGTAATCTTTTCTTTGAATAGAGAAGCATTTATATGGAAAGATGACACCGAGCTGTTATCAAGCAAGCAAGTAAAATCATGTCACTCCTGTAAGCATACCTTTGCCTCTCCTTCCCTATTCTCTTACGTAAGTGCAGGCTATATAAAGGGTCTCCCTACAGCATTCACTTTACCTTAAACCCCTTTTTTTAAGACCTCAGCCATGAGGGTTACTTGAGCGGCTGTTTCAGCTTGAAAACCGAGCAGGGGGGCACGCAAAAGGTGTGGATGACTTATTTTTCTTCAGCTGATCGCGAAGGAAACCTGGCAGGGCTCACTGGAAACTAGCAGTGGCAGTGGCAGCGGTGTGCCCTCTCAAAGTCAGCTGTAGCCCTGCTCGCTCCCGGGACGCAGCCGGACGCCAGCGGCAGGGCGCAGCCCGCTGCCTGCTGCGGTGGCACACGGCTG